CCGGGCGCCCACGAGTCACGGGGACCTAAAGCGGGGGGGCCTGGCTAGAGCCCCCCTGAAAGCCCCAGCCTGTCCAGAGAAGAAGCGGGAGGAGCCTCTGCGGCGCAGGAAGGAAGGAGAGACGGTGGGAAAGCAACCCAGTTTTCTGGACAGGCTGCGAAGGCGGAGCTAGTGCTCGGGCGAAGAGAGCCACACCTGAGCGCGTGGCCAGGTGTGCGCAGGAGATTCTGTGCCTCGCCAGCAGCAGGAAGCTGCTGCCCCTGACAGAGCGGGGCGGGCCGGTCCTTTGCAAGGGGCAGAGGTGGCAGCAGGGTGGCGCAAGGACTGTCCCCTTGCCCGCATTCACTTGCCGTCCCAACTTCGATAGCTGCTGTCGCAGAACGCTACAGGGTGCGGATGGTGGAGAGAGCCACATGGCAGGGAGGGGGGCAGGTGCTGGTCTGCGGTGTGGACAAGAGGCCAGGGGGCAGCTGCCGGCACCTGGAAGCCCTGAGCTGGAAGCAGAATCTGCACCCCTCCCCACAGGTCTGCTTCTGGGCAGGAAGGGGGTGGCAGAGGCAGAGGGTGGGCGCCTGGGTGGGCAGGAAGGCCCTAGCCAAGCCCTGCAGAACGGATCTTCTCAAGGAAAAAAAGAATTGGCTTCAGGGTAGCCTGAAGAATAAATCTTGGTTATGATCCAGCCCGTGGTAACGAATTCCAAAGCTGAATCACTTGGCGCCTGGTGCTTGCTCTCAGCAAACCCCACTCCTGAGTAGCAGTGATGGCGTTCCCTAGATGGGTCACGAAACGTCTGCAAGAAAACAAACAAGCTCAGAAAGCAAGAAGGACCCCACACTTCTCCTCCTCTGATGTGGTTACCTAGAGGGGTCATGAAACGTCTGCAAGAAAACCACCAAGCTCAGAGAGCCACAAGGACCCCTCATTTCAACCCATATTCTCCTTTATTGATGCTCCCTGGTTCTTTTCACAGGTTCGTCTCTGCGTCAGAGTGTTTGCAGTGTGACTACTATTGTGAAACAACCCAGGAGCAAAACACAGCACACACAGAGTCTTTTTTGTCTTTTAACAATGGTTTATATACACGACTACTATATACATACATATAGGTGGTAGGCAAATACCTGGCAAGCAATCAATCTTCTTTACTCTGCACTGGAGAACCACAATGGAGTTAGAACACAAGGAGAGAGAGGTACTCCCTCTTGTGGCCTCATATATATAGACAGCTTCTTAAAGTGGTAAAACCCTGTGGGGCCCATCCTCAGTCTTCAAGCGGCAATAACCACGCTGAGTGCATCAGCCTTACAACAGCTGGTCAGTTCTTAAATCTCAACACCTCGACACTCTGGTTAGTCCTTGACATACGTGATGGCAGCTGAATTTCAAAACCCATGGGTTCCCAACCTCCTTGGCCCACTACAAGCCGAGAACCCAGCCACAGAACTGGCGGGCAAGCCCCGGCACGTACGTGCGGTTCCACTTGCGCACACAGCAGGCAGAGGAGCCCAAGTGCATGACTCCAGTTGTGTGAGCGGTGGCCATTTGTGTGTGCAGAACCATCCTGTGTCCACCCCCCACCAGTCATTAAGATTGGAGAGCGACAACCATCACGGAGTCTCAATCATATGTCGTGATGTAGAGTGCAACAGGTCGATTTTACGACGCTGTTTTGCACCGGTCCAGAGGTAGGATTCAGCCAGTTTGGACCAGTTCTGGTAGTGGAACTTTTGAGTGGTTTGGAGAACCGGCCGATCCCGCCTCTGACTGGCCCCGCCAAGCCCGTCTCTTCTCTGCCTCCCATTGAATCCCAGGTGATCGGCTGGGTGTCCTTGGGTTGCCCTGCACAGGAGAACGGAGCTGGAAAGCAGGTCAGTGGGGTGGGGAGGGAAGGGGGATTTTGCAGTATATCCTTCCCCTGCCACACCCACCAAACCACGCCGACAGAACCACTCGTAAAAATTTTCGAATCCCACCACTGCACCAGTCACTACAAGAGCCCCTCCGTCATAAAACAAACCCTGCCGTAGTTCAATGAATACCACGGTTGTTAAGCAAAGCAAGCCCTGAGTTCCCTGGGCCGCACTTGTGCAGAAGACCGATAGAAACTTCCAGTTTTCACAAAAAGTGTTCTACAGGTAGTCCTCAACTTACAACGGTTCATTTAGCGACCTCCCAAAGTTCCAAAAATCCGATTTATGACCACTTTTCACACTGATGACCGGGGTCAAAATTCAGACCATTGGCCACTGACTTGTCTTTACAACGGTCTCAGCGTCCCCAGGATCGCGTGATCCCCTTTTTGTGACCTGCTGACAAGCAAAGTCCATGGGGGGGGGGACCAGATTCACTTAACGACCGGGTTCCTCGCTGAACAACTGCAGTGACTCACTTAATGATGGTGGCAGGAAAGGTCGTAAAACGAGGCCAAAGCTCACTTAACTCTCTCAGCAGCATATATTTTAGGCCCAGCTATGGCCATAAGTCGAAGACCACCTATGTCTACTTTACAAAACATAGTAGCAGCGTCCTCTAGTTGTTCAATACCTTGTGGGAAGCCGTAAACAAGGGCTGAAGGTTGTCCTCGACTTATGACCACAAGGGAGCCCAAAACATCCGCTGCTAAGCAAGATGGTTGTTGTGGGTTTTGTCCCATGTTATGAACTCTCTTGCCCCGGTTGTTAAGTGAATCACTCCAGACGTTAAGTAAGTCACATGGTTGTTACGGGAATCTGGCCTCCCCTTTGACTTTGCTGGTCAAAAGGGGACCCCATGACCCCTCCCCTCCGGGACGCGGCACCCGTCGTAACTACGAGTCACTTGCCAAGCGCCTGAATTTTGATCCCATGACCCTGGGGAAGGCTGCAACGGTCGTTAAGTGTGAAAAACGGTCCATCTCTCAAGTCATCTCTTTTGGTGCCGTTATAACTCCCAGCGGTCACTAAATGGATCCAGGGCAGCCTGGCATTCGCACTAAGACGAGGGAGTTTTGTGGAGTCCCAAGCCAGAGAGCTTCGGGAGGAGCCCTTTGCAGCCTGGCCAGGTATTGGCCTGCAGCCCCACACCTGGGAGGCCCAGGTGAGAGGCTGCAGCCCAGAGGCTGCCCGAAGGAGGAGCGCACCTGGAGCAGAGACAGGTGAGAGGGCCGGGGAAGCCAGTGGGAGGGGGGGGCATTAGGCCACACCTGGCTGGAAGGGAGGGAGACATGGCCTCCCCCTGGCCCTGGGTGGGGAGGGGTATTCCTGTCCCACCCAGGGGCCCCTGGCAGCCAGACAAGCGTTTGAAGGCTCCCCCGTGTGGATTGACGGGTTGCCTTGGCGTCTCTTCCTTGCAAAGCCCCCCCAAATTTTCCCCTTGGGTGGCAGCTGCCAAGAGGTCCTTCCCTGCATGTCAGGCAGAGGACGATTCCCTTTCGGGGTTGGGGGGGGAGGCCGTGGGCAAGAATGAAAGGGGGAGGGGCCCAAACCGCAAAATGGAGAGAGAGGGGGGAGGGAGGAGAAAGGAAGAGAAAGAGAGAAAGGAAGGAGAGCAAGAGGGAGAGAACGAAACAGAGAGAAAACAGGCCTTTTATTTATAAAATGCCCCTTCTTGCCGATTGAGTGGATGCGTCATAGTTCTTGCCATAGAATCGCCATAGAGCCCCATAAAAGGGACAATCTGACACCCCAAACATTGGGGGCAGCCAAAACAGAGCCAATGGGGACGGGGGAAGATTTCTCCAGATCCTGCCCAGCAGGGCCCAGCCAAGCCAGCTCTTCTGCCCACGGATGGAAAATGACGGACCGCAGCCAGAGAGAAAGCGGGGTGAGGGGTGCTACAAAATGGGTCAAAACTCTTTCTGGGTGCCTGGCGGGGCACAGCTCTCTCTCTCCAGGCCCTCCCTGACAATTGAAGGGCTTCCTTAGTTGGTTGGTTGGTTGGCTGGCTGGCTGGTTGGTTGGTTGGTTGTCTGCCTGGCTGGCTGGCTGGCTGGCTGGCTGGTTGGTTGGTTGGTTGGTTGGTTGTTGGTTGATTGGCTGGCTGGCTGGCTGGCTGGCTGGCTGGTTGGTTGGTTGGTTGTCTGCCTGCCTGCCTGCCTGCCTGCCTGCCTGCCTGCCTGGCCAGTTGGTTGGTTGGTTGTTGGTTGGTTGGTTGGTTGGTTGGTTGGTTGGGATGATGTGCCATCAGGTTGAGGTTGGTTTTCTCCAGAAGGATCTGATCCCAGCCAGGTCCTCCAAAGGTGTAGCTGAGCCCACCTAATCTATCTTGTTAGCTGGTTGCTCCTTCCACCTTCCCCAGTATTAGGGACTTCTCACGGATCGTTCTCTAACCTTCATCACATCATATCCTCATAACCTTTATATCATATCATTATCTTCATCTTCATATTATCTTCATCATATCATTTTCATCTTCATATCTTCCTATCATTTTCATCTTCATATCATCATCATATCTTCATATTATCATTATATCATCTTCATATCATCATCACCATCTTCAGATCATCATCTTCATACTACCTTCATCATATCATCACCTTCCTCCTCCTCCTGCTCCTAGCCAGGAGAGGCCAAGCGGTAGCTGCAAGCAATGCAGCTTCTTCAGCCTCCTTGCCCAGGAGAGGGAGGGGTCCAAATTTGGCCCAAAGGAGGCTTTGCCTAATATCTACCAGGACCCCCAACCCAGCTGGGCATAGCCTTGTCCCGGGGGTGGGGTGGGGGGCATGCATGCTGAGCCCCTCCAGAGCAGAGGGCCCTCCTCCTGCCCAAGAAGAAGAGGAGGAGGAGGAGGGCTGGCCCTTTCCCCTCCCCTCACCCAGCCTGCCCCTCCTGCCCTGGCCCCTCCTTCCTGATGCCCCCAGGGGGTCTGATGGGGTCCATCATCCGCATGAGAAAGGCCTGCATGGCCAGCCCCTTCCCCCTTCTCCTTCCCCCCCCCACCCAACCAGGTTCCCAGCCAGAGCAGCCTCCTCGCTCTGAGACTGGACCTCAGAGCCCTGTGGCTGGGCCCCCTCCCCGGCCATGGCCACCTGGACCTCCCTCCATTCTGGGCCTGGGGAGGGCAGCCTGGATCCCAGGGGGCCCCTCCTGGCTGTGGCCCAGATTCCCCCGCTGGACGAGGAGGGACTGGAGGCGGCAGAGGGAGGGGACGAGGGCCCCGGGCAGGAGGGCCCCTCGGGTAGGAGAGAGAAGAAGAAGAAGAAGAAGTACCACCGTCACCCCAAGCCCCCCTACACCTATCTGGCTATGATCGCCTTGGTCATCCAGGCCTCCCCGGAACGGAGGCTCACCTTGTCCCAGGTAAGGCTGAAGGAACCAGGAGGTGGGCTGGGGG